AAGTCATTAGTGGAAATCAATCAGCTTTTATAGAAGGGAGAAGAATAGTTGATAACATATTAATGGCACAAGAGTTAGTCAGTGGCTATCATAGAATGCATCTTTCCTCTCGTTGTGCTATCAAAGTAGACCTTATGAAAGCCTTTGATTCAGTTAATTGGGCTTATTTGTTTCTGATGATGGAGATTATGGGATTCCCAGCATGTTTTATTAATTGGCTTAAGTTGACTATTAAAACTGCCAAGTTTAGTATTAGCATTAATGGGGGACTTTGTGGATATTTTGGGGCTCAGAAGGGTGTTAGGCAGGGTGATCCTTTATCACCCTACCTCTTCACCATTGCCATGGAGGGGCTATCTTTACTGTTGAATGAATCTGCTGCTCTAGGTCACCTACCTTACCATCCACAGTGTAAAAAAGTGAAGCTAACTCATCTGAGTTTTGCTGATGATCTTTTGATATTTACAGAAGGGTCGGGAACTGCTATCTCTAAGGTACAGGGGATTCTTTCTGACTTCTATACCATGTCTGGTTTGAAATGCAACCCTGCAAAGTGCGAGGTCTATTTTGGGGGACTGTCAGTGATTTTTAAAAGTAGAGCTCTTCTAGTGACTGGTTTTCAGGAGGGGATGCTCCCAGTGAGGTACTTAGGACTTCCACTGATATCTGGGAAGTTGTCTGCTGCTGATTGTGAAAAACTAGTAGCCAAAATCACTCAAAAAATCAAGTCATGGAGAGCTAAGAGGCTCAGTTATGCTGGCAGGCTTCAATTAGTCAGCTCTGTTCTCATGGGGGTATTGCAGTATTGGATGCGGGTCTTCTTGCTTCCTAAGAGGGTCCTAAAACAGGTGCAAAAAATCTGCTCCACTTTCTTATGGCATGAAACTGAGGAAGGAAAAGCGAAGATAGGATGGGATAGGATGGCCAGACCCAAGAGGGAAGGAGGTTTAGGACTGAAAGAGCTTTATTCATGGAACCAAGCATGCACTGCTCGTATGCTCTGGTTGATTCTGATGCAGAGTGGGACTATATGGGTGGCATGGATCAACTCCTATAGGGTCAAGCAAGGTTGCATCTGGACAATAAAGTCTAGTTCCAGTGGCTCCTGGGCCTGACGCAAGATATTGAAAACAAGACAGGTGATGCAACAACACTTCTCTGTGCGGAGAGGGGTAGTCCTTTGGGATCAAACTCCTATGCCCAGGTTTCGACTAAGTGTAGTTTGGGAGGGGATTAGGCCGAAATGGCCTGTTGTGGAATGGTATAAATTAGTTTGGGGGCATGGATTTGTTCCTAGGAATAGTTTTCTCGTTTGGACAATACTGCTTGATGGTATTGTCACTTCTGATAAGTTGGTGAAATGGGGGAAAATCGGGGATGCTGTTTGTGTTTTATGCAGGCAAGGGCTGGAAACTCGGGAGCACCTGTTTTCCAATGCTTGTATTCCAGAGAGGTGGTGCAGGGTGTATGCTCCTTGCCTATGTGTTGTGCATCCTGGTCAGCTACAGTGGCCGCTGCTTGTTCTTTTTGCAGAAGGAAAAATGGTGCTATTGCAGGGATGGTTTGGTGCTTCCTGGTGGCCTCAATTTGGAAGGAACGTTGCCGAAGAATGCATGATGGGGTCACACATTCTGCTTCGGATTTGCAGGCCCTAATCAAGCGAGATCTTTTAACCATTGGAGAAACAAGGTGTATCTTGGGGGATATGGAGTGTATTGGGGTTTCGTGATGTATTTTGTTTAGTAGTCGTTGTTGGTACTTCTACTGTAGTAGTTAGTTGTGTGGTTTTTACAGGCTTTTGAGGTATCATTATGATAACCCCTTTCGTTGTATCTCGTTTCTCCTAGCATCTTGCTGGCTTGATTAATAAGATGAGAGCACCTGATTCAACGAAAAAAATAATTATGACGGTTCGTCGATAATACTATATTATTAAAGCCCTAACCACCTCACAAATGTATGTACAACGTATCAAAATAATCATCGGCCTCATTTTTTTTCTTATAAATATTTGTTTTCGACAAAGTGATGTCGTTAGTATAAATAATATTTCTGACGGCTAATCAGAAATGTTGTGTTATTTACGTATATAGTTCTAGGCTTAAAACGCCAGCTTTTGCAGTGTTGCTCAAGTTAGAGGGCGGTCTGGGGATCAAGGATTTCTGTATGTGGAACAAAGCTTGTGTTATACATCACCTGTGGTCAATCCTGGCATGTAGTGGATCCATTTGGGTTGCGTGGATTAAAACCTATCGACTCAAGTCCAAAACCATCTGGGAAGTCTCTTCTGCTCAATTGGATCTTGGGTTTTGAAGCATATTCTCAAACTTCGGTCTATTGCTGCTGCGTTTATCGCAGGGACATCTGATTCTCTTCTGTGGGATGGTACTTCCATGCCCCATTATTTAGTGTCGAAAGGATGGAATAGCATCAGAAGCTCTTCCCCATATGTTGGTTGGGCGTAATTGGTTTGGGGTAAGTACTCCATTCCCAAATATAGAGTCTTGGCTTGGATGATTGTTCAGGATAAGATCACTACTACTGACGAGCTCTTACTGTGGGGGAAGTCTATTTATGGGTGTTTGTATTGTGCACGGGTGGGTTAGAGTGTAGAAATCACTTGTTTGGTGGATTTTCTTTCTTTACATACATCTTGCAGACTGTATTCTCTGAAGCCCCTCCTGCAGCTCTTGGTTACTGGGAATCTACTCTGAACTGGGCATCAAGGTTGTGGAAGGTAACTCTGATCCTGCTCGTGTTGGCAGACTACTGTGGCGTTTGGTGATTAGACATGTTTGTAAGGAAAGGTGTCGTTGATGGTATGGAGAGGGAAAGTATATGTACTCCTCTGCAAATTTTGGCCAGGATTCGTACAAAAATTAATTGCATAGTGTTTACCTATCCTCGGCTTGCTCCAATTCTATATAGTTTCTTTCTGCATTGTTACAGTTGGATCAGTGGCGGATTCAGAAATTTTAAATAGGGGTGTCCTCTTCAAAAACAATTAAAAATTAAAATTAAATCAAATAATTATTAAATATGAAAAATATTCAACTAGTAAAAGTTAGAATAAAATTTCAAACTTGTTCCGTATTATGAAAGAATGGTAAAATACATTCGGTGTATACACTGCTCAACACATCTCTCGTGACATATCCTACTAGACAAGGGTAACCCGTAATTGGGTTTAATCATTAGATTTTGAAAATAATTGGGAATAAGAATAGTCCTTTACTATTATATTTTGATCTAAAACATAACTACAAATGAGTTGTAGTCTAATTGAAACTACATTTACTAATAGTAGCAGTGTTCCCACGTTCAAATCACATAGACCCTATCACTTAAATATTATTTGTACTCATATGCATAATACTATAGGAGGTTGGATAATCATTTTCCATATTTTAAGGGTGTCCCACTATCACTAATTTTATTTTACCCATACACAAACTACTATCGATGGTTGGATAATCGTTTTTCCAAATTTTAGGGGGTGTCCGTAGCAGTGTTCCCACGTTCAAATCACATAGACCCTATCACTTAAATATTATTTGTACTCATATGCATAATACTATAGGAGGTTGGATAATCATTTTCCATATTTTAAGGGTGTCCCACTATCACTAATTTTATTTTACCCATACACAAACTACTATCGATGGTTGGATAATCGTTTTTCCAAATTTTAGGAGGTGTCCCGGGACACCCCTAAACCTCCATGTATCCGCCCCTGAGTTGGATGGTTGCAGATTCAGGTCCTTGAGCATGTAAATATTGGTACTATTGAGAGCATGTAAACATTGGTACTATTGAGAGGATCCCGAGTTTTGGGGTTTTTTTTTGGGTTTTTTTATTTACATTAAAAAATAGTTATGTTTGTTGAGGAAGACACTACATCAATAAGATTAACTAGTTTATCAACATTTAAATTTTTAGTGTAAATACAATATATTAGCCGCAACATTATGAAGCGGGGAATTATAGTCACAACTATGAAAATTCAATTTATTAGCCATAACTATTGTTGCGGGTTAAGATATGGCTAACTGTCCGTTACTGTTATTGAATTTTTAACGGAGAAGCGCACGTCATCGCCCACGACAGCAGCCGCGTCGGACTGCTTTTAATTTATAACTTTAAAATATAATAGTTTAGTCAGTGTTACTAACGAAATTTTAATAGATAGTCAACGTTTGGCTAATAATTTGAATTTCCATAGTTGTGGCTATAATTCCTCGCTTTATAATAGTTGTGGCTAATATATTGTATTTACCCAAAATTTTAATATGCATATAGTATGTATATTAAAATTTTAATATATAGTCAACGTTTGGCTAATAATTTGAATTTCCATAGTTGTGGCTATAATTCCTCGCTTTATAATAGTTGTGGCTAATATATTGTATTTACCCAAAATTTTAATATGCATATAGTATGTATCCTATTAGAATGTGGCTAATATATTGTATTTACCCAAATTTTTAATATGCATATAGTATGTGTCCTATTAGAATGTAATTGAAGAAAAAAACATAGAAAAAAAAACAGAGTCAATTTTCTTATATAATGTTATTCATGTAATATAACTCAATTGACAGATGATTGTACCATAATACTCGCAACATAAAACCAAACAATCAAACAAATTTACTAAGAAAAAACAGTCAAACTGATTTAGTAAGAAGCTCTCACAAAATCAAACAAATAGTTAAACCACATCAGACAAATCTTATCAACTAAAACACCTACAATAGTGTATCCATTCCATTTCACGACCAAAATAGTAGTCAACAGCTTTCTTTTTCGTCAAAACAAAAGTTCAATGAGCCAAACTAATCAACGCGTGAAGGTTGAAGTATTAAACTGAAATTTTGCACGCTCAGGAAAAAACACAGCCATAGACAATTAGAAAATCCAGAATTAGGGATAAAAAAAAAATTGAAATTGAATTTTTTATATTTATATAAAGCAGGTCTACTGGCAGTGAAAGGAAGAGGAGGGAACCGTCCACATGGAATGGTGCCGGCTTTAAAACCAGACAAAAATCCCATTCCTCATTGCTCAGAGATCAGTCTCCCACTCCTTCTGCGATTCCAATTTTTGGGTTCTTCTTCACATTTCAGTATTTGATCCCCTTTCCACAACTTCCGCCCCGAATTACCCAGTTCGCCGCCCGCAGCCGTCGCCGGACATTGCAACCTCCGCTGCCGCCGTCGCCGTTCCCCCCAATGCTACCCTACAAATCAATCGAGGAGGCGGCGGCCCACTTGGGCCGCAACCTGACCTACGCCGAGACACTCTGGTTCAATTACTCCGCCGACAAGTCCGATTACGTCCTCTTCTGCCACAACATTCTCTTCCTCTTCCTAATCTTCTCGGTGGTTCCGCTCCCGATCGTCTTCATCCAGTTGCTCCGATCCCCTTCCTTCGACAAGTACAAGATTCAGCCCAAAGTCCAGCTCTCCACTGCTGAAATCTTCAAGTGCTACAAGGACGTCATGCTCACCTTCTTCTTCATCGTCGGTCCTCTGCAGCTCGTCTCTTACCCTTCCGTCAAGGTAAGAAAAGAAGTTGTTGGATGTTGATTGGTTTTCCGAGTTGGGTCTTTTGTCGATTTGGGGTTTTCTGGATTTCGTGAATCTTTTGATTTATTTGCTGTTTGTTTTCCAGATTGTTGGGATTCATACAGGGCTGCCATTGCCGTCAGGGTGGGAAATTGCTGCCCAGTTGTTTGTTTACTTTGTGGTTGAGGATTATACCAATTACTGGGTCCACAGATTCCTTCACGGCAAATGGGGGTACGAGAACATTCACAAGGTTCATCACGAGTACACAGCGCCAATTGCATTTGCTGCACCGTACGCTCACTGGGCTGAAATCTTGATCCTTGGGATCCCATCTTTCCTGGGACCAGCAATGGTTCCTGGTCACATGATCACTTTCTGGCTGTGGATTGCTTTGCGGCAGATGGAGGCCATAGATACGCACAGTGGGTACGCATGCATCTGCTTTTTGGCTACTCTTACTATCTATATATTCCACCTTTACCTCTGCTTTTATGGCGATCGTGACAAGATTATGAGTACTTTACAAATCCCTTTGATTCACCTTAAAAACTCCTTTCCGTAAAGTGGATTTGGAGTGTCCTCAGTCAAATGGTTGTCCTTAAATGATGCTTAAGATCAAGCCCTTTTTTACAGTGCTCTGCTGTTCTCTGAGCTAACTTTTCGAAGAACTTTTCAATAATGGGGAAAAGTTAGCTGAACTAGCAAAACCGGGAGTGACCCGAGTGAGTGCGAGTGTTTGATGGAAAGAGAACCTGTAGTGATTTGCTTTCCATCGAGCCACCATAGGGTTCTTTCAGTTGCTTTTGTTAATTTCTTCCCAAAGTGGGTGGTTAATCAATTGTGGAACGTGATATGATGTTCGCTTTCCTCCTGCTTTAGCCACTGCTACTTTATCCATTGGCTGAGCATTACACAGGGAAGATGAGGCTAGTGAAGTATCATCATACGATTTCATGCACGTCATCAGTAACTATCCTCATTTGCAATACATTTAACATAGCAACTAGAAGAAAGCATTGGTGGCTTGATGGAGACAGTAATACTTGTGTACTGAGCCTGAGAAGTGGATTGTACAGTAGAATGAAACATCACCTCGAATCATTATTTCGTATGAAATATAGAATATCTATAACAAAAATGATGGTAAGTCTAGTATTTAACGTTATATGTAGTTAATTATGCAGCCGGTAGGTCTGCTGTCCTTATCTGAAAGCAACTCTGAAGGAAGAAATGATGGTGAGTTGCTGATCCGATAGTCAATGCCACTGTACCTGGAAAGTGACTACATGGGAATGAAACACCCACCAAGCATTAGAAATTTCTTTAAGAGCCAAGAGGCATAAAACTGGGGGATTTGAACTTTATTGGGTTTCTTTTCTCAGAAGCAGATATAGAATCTTATATCCTGTTGGAGTTGCGTTGCTTTGAAATTGGTTCAAATTTAGCTCCTTTTTTATATGTTTGCATTTATCAAGGGATGTTGTGATTAGTTTGAATGATTGTAGTAATATTGCCTGTGCTTGCCATTTGAAGGTTATATCCTGTTGGAGTTGCGTTGCTTTGAAGTTGGTTCAAATTTAGCTCCTTTTTATATGTTTGCATTTATCAAGGGATGTTGTGATTAGTTTGAATGATTTTAGTAATATTGCCTGTGCTTGCCATTTGAAGGTTTCATATCTTCGTTCTCTGTGGTGCAGATATGACTTCCCATGGAGCCTCACGAAATACATACCATTCTATGGTGGTGCCGATTACCATGATTATCATCACTATGTTGGGGGCCAAAGCCAGAGCAACTTCGCATCAGTGTTCACCTACTGTGATTACATCTATGGAACTGACAAGGTGAGTAGTAAACCAGACCAAAACACATTGAGAATCAACTATATCAGTATACATTCTCCTTCGATATCTAAATCGTTCTTCTAATCATGTTCACCTCCTTTCTTTTCCCGTTCAGGGCTACCGTTATCAAAAGAAGCTCCTCCAGAAGGTACCATCAAAACCATCTCCATTTATGGAACAAATGTTGTGGGTTTGGATAGCTTAATTTTCTAACATTGCTTTCGGTTTTTGTTACGAGTTCAGCTGCAAGGAATGAATGACGGAGAAGACCGCAATGCAGGTTTCAAATCGGACTAGACCGACGACGCGATCAGAACTCTTCAGGTAGCTGAAGCCTATGATGGATAGATCTCCAGTGTGCCACATTTTAACAATGGATGGGATTCATTTGGTGACTGGAAGGGCGTCCAAGTGTTTTCTTACAGCTCTGTTTTTGTGTTAACATGGCAAAAGAAAAAGGTTGGTTAGCTTGTGGTGTGTAAGCTTAGGCAGAGTTTTCTTTGTGATGGATTGTACTCGTATGTCAGTGGAGAAGTGGATTAATTAGTGCGCTGTTTTTGTGAGTTTGAGATCTTTCATTGTTATTTTTAAGCCCCAGAAAAATAGCGTACTGGTCTGTTTGATACTTTGATGTGTACTGGTTTTTCTGAACTTGTCGTAATCTAAGTATTTCCATTATTTTAATATGACTATAAATACAAAAGTTCAACAAGCCCGTCTAGCTCAGTCGGTAGAGCGCAAGGCTCTTAACCTTGTGGTCGTGGGTTCGAGCCCCACGGTGGGCGTTCATCTTTTGCTTTTATTACATTTGCGCTTCACTTTTGTTTTGACGGGACTTCAGCCGAAACCTTTTCCCCTTCCTCGCGAAGCGCTGCTCCTTTGTCAATCACCATTCGACGACAATTGTAATTTCCCCATTGCCCTGCCTTGTCTCACTAAGATTTGTCACTATCCATGGCATTACGTGTTTTGTCTTCCTGTTTCCATTCCTGGCTGGCTTCCATTGAACAGGGAGCTGCGCAAGAAATCGAGAATCTGGCTGGGTACTTTCCTGGCGACTGAAATGGTGGCGGCGGCGCTCTACATCAAGGGGAGATATGAAATTCTCAATTTCTCCGACTTGGTTAGCTCCCTGCCACGGCGAACCTCTGTCGCGCCTCGGGACGTCTAGACAGCCCAGGCCGCCCTAATGGACCAATTCGACGGGAAGCGGACTGCGGACAACGATTCTGGCGGCGTCTTCGCTGGAGGGGTTGAGTGAGATTATTGAGCTGCCGAGTCTGAGCGATTTTTGGGGCGAGCTGAAGAGCGAGTTCGTGTTGCTTGACTTGGTGGTGGACGGGTGGTTGCACCCAACCAGCCGATGTGGTCGCCGGACGACGGTGGTTGGGTTGGGTGTAGGTATGTTAGTGGTGCTGACGGGCTTGGGTTTGATTCTGGGTTGGGTGATGGTGGGTTAGTGACGTGGCGGGTTGGGTTGGGTTTGACATTTTTTGTCCAAAACGGCGTTGGCTAGGCGCTCCCGTTAGCCACATCAGCACATAATGGACTCTATTAACTGAGTCGGACGGAGACTAACGGAGAGTAACTAAATAAGACATGTTTTACTAATTTGAGTGACCAAATTTGATATTAATTTTCTAGTGACTAAACATGATACGATTTAATAATCCCAATAATCAAATGTGGTTGTTTTTTATTTTCTTTTATTGCTAGGATTTTAAATATGACATGTTTTATCTCCAGATCTAAAGAGATTAGAAAAAACTTGATGCTGAATGTATTGGGCCAAAAAGATACTGGAGTGGGCAAAAGGACCGACCATAAGATAAGAGACCCTGACAGTGGCAATACATTTAAATGGCAAGGTAGATGAATGGCTTGCTGTTGTTATCAACGGTAGGACTGTTGAGTTGGCATAACCCTAATCGTTGCAGTACGAAATAGATGGAAGGAATCCAAACGGATACGTTTGTTGCATGTGGTTAATATGTGGTGTTCATGATCAGGTATGGATCCCATCACCTCGCTTTCACATTGCTTCTTGCAGCTCAAAGCATAGTTCATGCCTCAAAGTGCACAGATAAGAGAATGCAGTTGAAACTGCATCCTTTGTCAATTTACATGCTCTACCACTGTAAGCATATGACCATTTGAAGTTTGTTTCCGTTGTCTCCGTAACCGTATGGTCATACGGTTTTTGAGGAGAGACCAGTTTTCGGGAAAATACGGTACATGAACTATGCTGGTTGCAAAAGGAAATTCAACGTGGATGGTTACATTTCTTACGTGAAGGGACTTGCAGGTGAATTGAAGAAGAGGAAAGCAGAATCTTAACTCTCCAGAATCGCTAAGGAACTGTGTGGTTGGCCTTTGGCCTATTTAGTTTGCACCTAAGTTGATAGTTCATCTAATTCCAATGTTTATCGAGTGCATGATCACAAGTATGGCATTCGCGGTTTGGCTGCGAGTTCTTTGCTCGTGCAACGGCTGTTCATTTCTAGTTGTTGTGGTTCCTAAAGCCAACTCAAGAATCAGCAGGCAAACGAAATTACGCCTAGTTAGTGACTATAACCAATTCCATTGAAGAGTCGAAGTAGGCAAACAAATTAGAGGAAAACGAATTAGTGTTGATGAATCAAATCATTATTCCACGAATCAGGAATCACAAGCATCATCATTTTTCTTTTCTTCTATTGGTTAGTAGCAATATATTTATACACATGAACTCCTCTCTGGAGTTTCAGTACATTGAATTACAATGAAAATTCGAAGAGAAAAGATGGGATAAGTTACAGCCTGAACATCATGACGAGCTTACGCCGAAATAGAACCATTACAATGAGAATAGGTGGGGGGGAAATCATAGATACTGGGCATTTTACATGGGAGGCTAAAGATGAATAATGGTAGATACACAATTGGATTAATCAGTCTAACAGTACAGACACCACGCGAATGATCAATCCTGTTTCAGCATTTCTATCAGCCATGCTTTCATATCTCCAGATCGTCCAATGAAAGTTCATTTGCTGTCAAAAGCTTAAGTTTCTGCAGTTTTCCGAACACCGAGTTAAGAGTCAACATTTGGCAGTTGTACGAGGGGAATCTGAGCATGTCCAAAGGAAATTTACCGTAATGAACTGGGGAGGATCATCAAGACTTGTAGAGCCTAGCACGACTTCTCTTTGCAGCTTGCTTGTCAGCTTGTGACAAGCACGTAGCTGTGACAAGTGAAGAAAACAAAAAAGAGAGTACAGATTAGATGAAAATATGATACGAGTATCAGTAAAATGAAAGATTCGATAGATTGGCCAAGTGTTTTAGATCTTTCAAACCTCAGATCTCGTAGCTCCACCAACGACGAACACAAATATCCGGCGGCCCATCTTCTTAAAGTCACTGGATGCATGCCTCAGCACCGAATCACTGTATGCAAGGCATGAATTAGATTCCAGCAGAAGGAAAAGCAAAGGAGATGTTTGTTAAGATCCTGCTTCTGTTTCCTATGGCTATAAGGTTATGAAGAATTTATCAAGGAAAATGAGGAAGACAAAGAAGAGTATATAGAGGCCACGGTGCAAGTCCACAGCGGACATAACTCCCAAAAAGAAAGGCCTTATGTGGAATAAGGGAAAAATTAACCAAGGAGCAAGCAAAATGCACCCTAACCAGAAAACGGTCCACAATCATGAGCAGCACCCAAAACCAGGAACAGCATACAGCAGAGCACGACCAGTAACCACACATAGGCGAATGGAAATTGGCATTTCACCAACTGCTAGATGATAGTACAAGGATGCATTTGTCATGTTACCTTGAATAACCATCGTCAGAATGCCGAGGGCGAGCCCATGTCGGTGTTCTTCTTGATCGCATGGAGTGAGGAGAGCTATTCATTATCGCAGCTGGAGACGTACCGTGAAAGGTTGCACTCGGGTCATTCAGGCACGGGTACTCGTCTTTTGACAATTCCCCTTTGCTCAGTTTTTCAACAAGTTCCTGAGAGACAGTGGAAAATTGGTGATAGCTGAACACTTACAAACAAGAGCGACAAGAGTAAGAAAATCAAATAGCACCCTAATTGGCGCATACCTCTACCATGGGATAAAACCGTGATAGCTGCCATCCAGTTTCTTCCTGACCAGAACGGTCTTTCCTTGCTGCTCGCTTCTTCTGAAAAAGATAGGAGAATAAAAAGTGAGACTGAATGCTTCTAAGTTGTGATCTCAACAAGTCAAGAAATATTTCTCACCTTGTTAATATCAAACTTCAGACTGAAACTAGTAGCTGAGCTTTTCTTAGTCTCTGCTGCACCACCAAGCAATCTCATGTTGTTTACAGCATTCATGTCGTCTTCTGGTAACTTAGCTAACTGCAAGAGATTCAAGTTAATAAACCAATACAAGCCACCAAGCACACCCACCATGAGAGTAAGTTACCGCAAGATCAGTTTTATACACATCTTCTGTACGTGCAGAAACAAAAAGCATATGTGTTTTCTGAATGTAGATAGGATCAGAGAATTTGGAAGGAAATGCATTGTTGAATAAGAAATCCAAGAAAAAGAGGCTAACCTTCATTAAATCATGTCCCTTCCCCCCCTCAAATTTCTCAGGGTATATTGCTGCAAGAATCATCAACAATCGTAGCTTGTTTTCACGGCTTGCATCCTGCACGGGACACTGCAACTATTCAGGGTCGGTGACCAGCTATACTTCTCCACTGAACATCTTTTAGGAAACCTGCTCACCTCATTTGCAGTCAAATACTTGATAACATCCTTTGTCCCAGCATCTCCGAATACAAGATCTTGCTCCAACTGTCCGAGGTCTCGAAGCCCAGAGTCCTTGATGATTTGGTTAACTTTTCCTGCGATCTGCACCATTACAACAAAACCCTTGTGAGAAAACCATATGTAGAAAAAGCTTTAGTATCCGAAGTAAAGGAGCACACCTCTACATGAAGAGAGAGCTTTTCAATTTGCTCACTGTATTGTGGTAATGCTTGAACCATCCTTTGCAAGTCTCGCGTAGAAAGTTGGCCACCATCTCTGCACAACATCAAAATTTTAAGCCGAGAAACAGTTTTATCAAAGCCACTAAAAATCTAAAACTACAAACCCAGTTTTTTTGTCAGTATCAAGAACTTTTAACACCAGATGTACACATATGCAGAGCCATCAGTAGCAGCAAATTTAAAGATCTAATCCTGATTCAGGGATAAGCATGAATCACGCAGAGCAAGAATCTGACCCACTGTTATAAAACAAACGACCAGTGACTCATTAGATAAAAGAAAGCTGTATCCATTATTGTATTGGCATCAACAAAGGAGAAGAGAGTAGAATATAGCACAGCATTGAGACCAGAGAAGCATATACTTGGTTTTTATTTTAGCATTGCAATCAACACAGCTGAGTAGTCGAACTAGCAACAAATGAGCACCGACAAGCCACTACAAAAGACCCAGGACAATAATGCACAAGCTGCTTGGATACAAGAATCTTTCTTTTCGCTTCAATCAGCTGTACTGGGATAATATCTCTGTCTGCAATATGAAGCTACTTCGGTAGTAGTAGGAGTTTTGACAAGAATTCTGCACCAACCTTGAACCATGTTGGATCTGTGCAGCTTTGTTTTTGGCTACAAAATTTGTCATCTTGTCGTGCAACCGCACACTGGCCTGCACAGGCAAACAGGTACAAAGATGATTTACTGTGAATCTAAACAATCACAAACAGTATAACCACCAACTTACATCTGCAATATGTGCATGGCGAAGCTCGACCCACACAGGATCATGTTCCTCTAATAGGACCTCCTTTTTCTCAGGCGGAGCACCCGATTTGCTGGGAACCTAAACAGTGAACCCTTAAGAATTAATGCCTCAACTTGTTTTTACTATAATAATACGAATTTTAGTAAGAATGCAGACTCATATGCTGTCATAAAATACCTCATGGACATATTTGTTGCCTTCCATATTTAATAGATCATGGCAGATTGCATCATATGTCCACTCATGAATGACGGGAGCAATCTAGCACCACGAAAAGACTGTATCAACATATAGCAAAACAATGGTATGGGGGAATAATAACCTCAGGTGACAATAAATATTTAGACCTGATCCACAGATCTATCAAGGATGAGCAAGTCGCAAGTTTCGGTCTGAGGGAACTGTTCAATCTTTTGTTTGTACTGTGAGATTCGGTCCCAGACTCTAGCAGCAAGTTTTGTGGTAATAAGATCACGAGAAGTCGTCATCGTCGTCACATCAAGTGACTTGGCAGCACGATATCGCACGTAGGGAAATTCCTATAAGTTTGACAGATGTATGAGTCAATATATCACTGAAGCATCATAAGTAACCGAGAAAACACTCTTCCACATACCCTTAGTGAAGCAAAAACCGAGGCTATCCGAGTACCAATGACACTCAAAACTGCGTCACTTCTTCGAGAATCTTCTTCATCCCCAAAAAGCTCTTCTAAAGCCCTTTCATGGTCGGTTAGGAAACCCTGTATCAAGAACATGGATTGAAGAATAGATCTCCAATGTGAACTCAGAAGAAAAATAAGGGGAAAAGAGAGATAGGAAACAATTATGAGACTAGAGGGAGTACAAGCCAGAATACACATGGGTATAGGTGACTACATGGGTCCACAAGCGTAGTAACATGATCTCAAGTTTGATTAAGACATTAAACCCCGCTCTGTAAAGTGTTTGCAGAAGAATCTTAATGTGACTGTTTTCTGTTTTGTTTCAAATAAAGTATTCAGCTTTTATTCTAAATAAAACTCATATTCCCACAAAAAAATGCAAGGCTCAGCAACATGAATGCCAGAAGATTCTTTATGCCTCATCAGTTACGCAAATATAACTCTAAGTCTCTAAGCATGTTTTTCAAAGCATTAGTCGCACTTACCACTGATCAAGAATTGAAAAATCAAATATATTGACACAACACTAAGATAGCATAAAGGCTCCAGACTATATTAAAAAACCCAATAATTAAGAAAATTACAGAAATTCATTTGTGATGTATGACAAACGCAACTACTAGAAGAAGTGCACAAACGTACCTGGCTATCTATAGCAAAATACTCCAAATTCATCTGCACACAACGTTTAAATTTAGTAACCACTTGAAACAATACATGCAAGCTGACAACAAATTGCTCTGGAACACAAGTGAATCAATCAAAAGATCGACTAGTCAAGGTAAGAAAAGTATACCTCTCTCAACGCACCTATCCGAGGTAACACAGTGCCCTCCCTTTTGATATGTGTCACCAAATCCCGGGAGACAGGTGAGCTAAAGAAGACATATGCCCTTCAAAAGGCAGAAAATAAAATAACTCTTGAGTGGCTAGTCCTGGGAATGTATGAACTTTCACAAATTAGCTTAAATGGTCCAGGAATATAACGAAAATAAATTTACATACTTCTTGTATAAGGGGGATTTCCCAGACATGTCTGACAAGAACATGACAATGCTGCAATACAGAAAACAGAAATCGCCAACACAAACTAATCATTCTAATGCCTGGAAAACAAAGAGACAAGCTAAAATATAAAGGCAACGGTGTTCAGGAGCACAAAAAGAGCAGTTGCGATTCAACCAAGGAACATTACTTCTCTTTAGTCGGTTGGATGAAGTATATCGCATCCATGGAGGGTAATGGCTGTCTTCTTTTGTATATATCCTCCACCACTACAGACCGAAAACATGAAACAGTTGAATTTAATAAATTATTATTATTATGGTAGTCATACTAAGTTAAAAGTTCAGATCCGATGTAGCTTGAAGCTGAACTTTCAACATAATTAACATACAGATAAACCAATGACAATATATGTTTAAGAAAACTTTCACATTAAGCAAAAATATTGCTCCAGATCTTGGTTAGTCCTCAATGAGCATATAACAATATGAATATGTCTCACTAAATAGCATGAACCTTTATTGACATATTTTTCAGGCATGCTTTAATTTTGGACGAGTCTTCCAAATTCTTACACGAAACTCCTTCCTGCGTGATGTCGGCCATCTTGCATGCGTAAGACATTATCTTGACAGTTAGTTTATCCATGATGAGTACCTACATTAAACATGGTCAAGGAGCAAGGAGATAAGGAGAAACCAAATATTCACAATTTAAACAAATATGGAAACAACATGACTAAGCCATTTGGGATTTGTGGGGGTTAAATGCAAAGCGAGTCCATTCAAGTAAACGATATCTCCAAGAAGCACACTTAGACTGGGAAATACAAGAAGAATAGAGTGCTAAAAAATCCCCAGGAGCACAGTTTTTCATCAGTGCTTCACCTAAACCCCATCCAGCATGCAAGGATTCTCTGGGAAGCAACAATCAGGTGGAACTTTTGGCGACCAATAATCAAAAAGTAACACTTTGAAAACAAACAGACAGTACTGACAATATTAGCACAAAGAGCATACTGCCACGTCAAAACCAGTCAGCAAACATGTTCATGTTATTCCACAAGTCTGGAGGCACTGATTTGGTTATTGCAAAGCAAGGTAGCTTCTAAAAGCAACACGTTATTAAAGTATGGTACATTAATTGTCGACAAAGAGCTCAATTGCAGAGCCATGATATGTAACTGCAGAAAGCTTTAAGAGCTTTGATCGATAAGTTAGAAATACCTTCCAGGTTGACCTTGAGTCCCCTGCCTTTGCCGAGCGCAACATTTCTTGTAACAAACCTGAATTTGCAAATGGAAAACGTGAAGTTACTGGATAAGGAAGAAAACATGTTACCTTCTATATAATGACAAATAAAGTGGATATTTCAAAGATGAAAAGATCACTGCAAAACAACAATGCCCTGTTAATGCTACCAGACCAAACCTTTCTGCCTATAGGATATCCATCATGACTACCTCATATTGACTGGAATTTCCACAATCACTAGTTCCCGATTCCCGGTTCAGCCTAGGCTACTAGCTTTCCACAAGTCATCAAACCACACAGAAAATTTTAGGCACTGCGTCGTCACAAGCAACAGCATCAAACTCCGGCCAATTAAGCATGGGTGGGGGGGGGGGGGGGGGGATAGAGAAACATAACCACCGTTGAATAGAGGATTTTATTAGACCATGTTTTAGATCTTCCTACCAGTGAAACAGCTGAAAACGTCTAGTATATAATTCTAAACTCAAACAAAGACCAATTTCATTTGCCTAAAACCAAGCAAGACCATTCGAAAGCTGTAACTTTCAAGTACAGAAGTTTTTTAAGCTCAACCACTTTTGCAACAAACTTCAATCCCTGCAACTAGATCATCAAACTTAGACCATACTGTCTTGCAGAGGAGAAGAACTAGCATTTTTTACATATGGTTGCGACATCACTAAATTACATTGAGGATATACACAACGCCTTGTAGAACTTCTAGTCAATAAGTTATTCTTGAGGAGATACATCAATGCGTTGTAGAAGTTCTAATCAGATAATAGCCAACTATCAAAAGATGTTGCAGAAATCAAATCTAACTGTTTCATATTCCTCCTAATTCAATCCTAACGCTCCAAATGGAATGCCATAGATCATTATTGGTAACCAATGGTTCTACTACCACGTCACTCATCACCAAAGTACTATGCATCAGCATACAAATAGGTATAACCTGGACTGCATATACTACTTGCCAACTCAGTCACTGTGCCACCAACTATTCGATAATCTACCAAAAGAGAATTTGCATCTTCAACGCCCTAACATCTCACCTAATCTCAATATTTCCGTAAGAGTCAAAACTCTAACCTGCAGTGTTCGTCAGTAATCACATTTTCTCGTGGGCTCTAATAAGACCAACATTCTCAGACCTATAGTTATGAGTACCCACTTCTAACTGATCTAGCCTCAAAGCATAGACTAATAGAAGACAATGGCAGTAGTAGAAGCAGCATTAACCCCATAAGATGCTTAACCATTAAAATCGGCCTAACATGCTATTCCTTGCTATGTAAGATTGGACCTTTGGTCCATCAATTCCGAATTACAGAAAACTAAGGGTGCTCTTTCTACCAAAAAAAAAAAACTAAGGGTGCTCCAATTTCTAAGGATGAGCCAATATCCCGTGTCCCAATAAGCTGCTGAAGGTGAAATAAGAAGTTCATAATCTAAGAAGCAGCACCTCCAATCAGCAATCACACCGCTTAAGCATTATCAACTACCCCATTACATTACTAGAGTGCGACTTCTGCTCGAATGACTCCAATAAGAACTGGGCTACCACCCAATTGAACCCTTAACTCCATCAAATAGAGCAGAAACCGGAGCGCGGAATTGCCACCCACTCCAACCCAATTGAAACCGTAACTGATTCCAAATGCCGCTATGTCTATGCTCGGATATGTTAAAATATGCAGAACCAGGGACGGGGATTGAACTTACGCTCGCGAGTGACTTGCTTAAAATTCTTATAGTCGGCACCGTAGGAGGAGGAGGAATCGGAGTCGGAGAATGACATCGTTGCCGGTCAAGTCGGCTTCAATGCTGCAAAGGATTATCCCGCCGGGCGGACGATCGGGTGGATTCGCAAGAGGGAGGGACGGAACGTGCAGTGATCGAAGTAGAGAGAGAGAGAGAGAGAGAGAGAGGGATCAAAAATTGAAAAGTAAATAGGGGGGACGGAGACGAGGGTGAAGGACAGAAGAAAATGAAAGGAAATTATTTGTACTTTTAATCCATTAAAAATTCTGCCGTCGGCAAACGGATAAAGAAATGGGGGATTGGATATTACGTGGCTTAACCAGGTAATCCCAGCTATTTGGCTTTTGTCAATTAGAGGCTTTCTCTTGTTTGGACCTTTTTTCTAGTCGTTTGGAAGTTGCGAATTGTTTTGTTGAGATTGTCATTATGCATGTATTGTTTACAATGCATCATTTTCTTATTTTTTTTAGTGATGTGACAGAAACTATCACTCATTTTGAGTGATTGTTATATCTCAACTTTTAGTTGTGATTGTTGAGATAGTTGAGTTGAGATTGTTTTGTCTCACCTTTTAGCTGATGCGACATACACAATCACAGATACCAAACGTTGTATTCTACAATGCATCAAATTCGACAATACATGTATAATATTATACATGCATTCTCAACAATACATCTATTTAACAATCGCAACTTCCAAACAACCTTAGAATCGTATTTATCAAAGTTTTACCAATAAAACGAGGACATAACAGAGACATTGGAACGAGATCGATTGCATGTAATTATTGAAAAATACACACACGTTTCGAAGACATTCAGCAACGGAATAAGTCAGATATGTATATGTACATGATCGAAACCGGTCAAATTAAAAATAAATAATGTGTGCTGGTCAACAGATGTTGAACCAACGATAAAGGTTTTTTTTTTTTTTTGCTACGATATGAGCAAACCTTGGTACCTTAACGACATGGACAATGTCATGATTCTTTTCCTTAAAATGATCAAAATCATGAATTACTCATGCTGAAATTGAATTAGAGAAGCAAACCCTTGTAGAAATAATAGCAGTTCAGCACAAAAGAGCGTAAAAGCCTCCACCGGATATACAACTAATCTTGCAAAATAAAAAACAAAAAGGCAAAAACAACCAGGCCCACATGACCTCCCATCTCTGGCGTTGACACTATTACTTGATCAGCCTGAAACTCTCCCGACTACAGCAAGCTATGAAGTCCCATTGCAATTTTGCAAAAACTAAAAGACAAAATGGCCCACCACAGAGCTCCAGATGGGAACCATGAGCTAGCACTCTGCGCTCTGCGCACAAGAATAAACTAGAATTGCATAAAATCAAGTATTAAAAGATCATTTATGTATAGAGCAAGACAAAACATGTATACGAGGGTTTCATTTTGAAAAAAGGGTTTCATTTTGAAAAAAAAAAATGAGAGGAGCTCTCTCCTCTCTCTTCGAATGGCTATGCTGGTTTCGAGGCTATCTACTGAAATTCCTTTCCTCCTTCTTCCTGACCAGCTTGCGGAATCAAAATAGAGATTGGATAAACCCTACTGGGGGTAGTTGCGCCGGCGGGATCGTTCAGGGAAGTGAGGTGAAAGGTGGGAAGAGGTGGACGGAAAGTAAAAAACCTGTGGCCACTCCTTTCCCCCATCGAGAGGATCGCTGCCCTATTTGGAGATTCAGTAAACGAAAATGTGCACTGCTACGAGAGGATCTGAATCCCTCGGGTGATTATTATTTATCAAACCCTAAACCTGTGAGAAAACACAGAGTTGCTCGATTACGAGAATGGAGATTCTCGCTCCCTCCATCATCGGATCTGGTAGGTGATGAATCGATGTTATCCAAACCTGATGAGTGTATGGTTGGGGTTAGTAGTCCCCTGTGGAGAGCTGACGTTCAGCTTGGACAGGGCGTTCGAGACTATGTCTTGGAAGCGGCAGAAACTCGTTCGTTGGTGATTCACCGGCCAATGCGAGATTCTCTTGCAGCTGCCACTGGAGGGTTGGCCGCCGAACCCACGTGCACAATCACATGTGCCGTGTCCCCTCAATCCCGTGATATGGGGGATAATGATACTTTGGTTATTGGATTGGGATTCTACCGGCCGATTCTCTTGGGAGTGGTAGGAGGTTACCGATGTAACAAAATCCAACGGGATAAATCAGCTCGGGAATCCAAACCGTGTGAAAATCCTAATCCTACTTGTACTCAACCTCTGGCTACAAACATGTCGCTGAGATTTGGGTGTCTCCGAGGCTCAGGGCCTTTATATATACCCTCCTTACCTGGCCTGATTAGTTCACCTAATCATAAGCTTCGACGCACGAGAGAGCCTAATGCTATCGGTGCTCTTCCCATTGTGCCTTCGTCTCGAAGCTGCTCAGGTATATTGGGTCATTTAAATCTTCCCCTGCCTCCTTCTTCTATTCACGCTACTATTTATAAAAGTGCACCTGTCATGAAGTCTCGTTCTATCCCTCCCATGCATGGTACAGCCTCAGTGGACGAGACGCTAGGGTGTATGTTGATTGATTTTAACATGAGCTCACTGCCTACTTGTCAGGTGTTGTGCACGATGGCTCATGTGGCAGAAGGTCAAGTGGTCCAATTCTCCCTTGAGGAGGTGCAATCGAACAAATTTCGAGCTTCGAGATCCCTAATTGGTCGGCTATTCACCAATGATCAAATCACCACTACGGAACTACGCGAGGGCCTGCTGGAGGCCTGGAAGATCCGTGGATTCCTCAAAGTTTTGAAAGCGAAGCATGGGCTATTCGAGATCGTCCTCCCTAACGAGGAAGCAAAAAAATGGGCTCTATCTCGAAACCCATGGATCATCAATGATCGATTGCTTATTCTTCGACCTTGGGCTCCTGCTATCTCCCAAGGAACCTTTGAGGAGATGGCTAAAGCACCGTTTCGGATCCAGTTATGGGGGGTACAGGAGGATTGCTGTACCAAAATTTTTGGACAGAAAATTGTAGCTGCGACGATTGGTAAAGTTCTGGAATCGGGAGTTTTTGCTTGCAAAGACACCGGGGCGCATTTTATAAAAGTTAATACTATTGTTGGCTTCTCCCAACCTCTCCGATCGCACTCAATCGCCCTCCTAAGATTCGACTTGGACAGGGGTGGCCGAACCAGTCGGAGACAAAAAAAAAATGGTGGGGCTGTGCTGGGTCCCCCTGCTATTGTTTCGACGACCCAGTCCCAACATGCTGCAGCAGTTCGGATGGCCCCGGTTCCGCAGTCGAGCGGGGATCAATCCGCCGTGATCCATGAACAGACGAGGCGACGCCAACTTTTACTCGAAGAAGATTCTGACGACGACATGATGGATGCGGTCCAGCCGGATGCTAAGGCTCCCATGCAGCAGCCCATGCAGAAGGAGGTCTTGGTGGAGCCGGTGAGTCTGCCTCGTCCGAATCCTGCTGGGGTGGACCACTCGGGGAAGAGGAGACCCCGGCGCACCAAAAAGCAGTCTATTCCCAAAGTATTGGAGGAGGGTGTTGTCCGTGCGGAGCTAGCTGCTGAAGCGGTCCCTGTTAAGCCCCAAATAGCGTCCTCGCATGGCAATCGGAAGTTAAGGAAAGCTAAACCTCGGGTGGAACATAAATCCCATGAGCCTGGGACTTCCTCACCAGTAGGGGGCTCCTCGAAGATTCTGCTCGTGATACTGAGGCAATGATGAAGCCGGTTATAGCTAGCCACCATGTGCCGAATGGTGGTATGGCCAAAAGCGGTGGTGGATAATGGGTCGGAGGAATCCTTGTCGGGTGAGGAATCTCATTGCTTTGTGATAAAGAAGAGAACCCCATCGGCTGCATCGCAAAAGAATGGCCCTCCCCCCAAAGGTCGAGTGAGCCAAGTGGTGGCAGCGTTTGAAGCAGGCTTGACCATTACTGATGAGATGGTAGCTCCGCCGCTGACCGGAGAGACAGGAGTTATAGCCGGTGCTGGAGAAAATAGCCCTGCTGGGTTGGCTGCTGGGATACTGGATGAGTATGGTACCAATTTGGCCAACCCACCCTCAGGGTTGAATAAACGGCCTTTGGAGGAAATTGAGGGGGAGGTGGGTACCCCACCGACGCCAAAGAAACAATTTGTGGAAATCGCTGAAAATCTTGAGAAGGTGGAGGAAGCCGGCCTAGAGTGGCCCCAACCAGATAAATGAGACTATTAGCCTGGAATGTGAGAGGCATTGGGCCGTCTCTCACGTTCCAAACGGCTGTGGGGTTGGTCCACTCGAATAAACCAGAACTTGTGTTTTTTTCGGAAACGCGGTCTAGCCGGTGTGTTGTTTCCCGTCGTATGCGGGGACTTGGCTTTGATTCTTCTCGGTGTTTTTTTGTTGATGTTATTGATGCTTCTGGGGGCTTAGTGTTTGCTTGGGCTCCAGATGTTCATATTTCGGTTTTTTATTCGTCCAACTTCTGTATTTGCTCCCAAATTAATGAAGTGAACTTTTCTTATATTGTGGTATGTGTTTATATAAGTTCTTCTGCCGCTAATAGAGCCGCCCAATTGGCGCATCTCCAGGAACTCTGTTCCACTTTCCACCTCCCTTATGTGGTTATTGGCGATTTTAATACTATTCTCACTACGAGTGAAAAGGATGGTGGCAATCCCTTGAATGCTAATAATTCGGCTAGTTTGCGTGACTTTATCCAGGACTTGGGTCTTCATGACCCAGGGTTCCAAGGTGACCTTTTCACTTGGACAAACAAGAGAATGGGTAGTGCCTGCATTCATGAACGATTGGATAGAGCTCTGTGCTCCCAGCTCTGGATTGATCGATTTCCCGAAACCATGGTCAAACACTTTACGGACCAAGGTTCTGATCATAGAGCTCTCCTCCTGTCAGATAGGCATTATGCTCGAAATAGCCGACCTCTCTTCCGTTTTGATGCCCGCTGGGCGGATAATCCTGAAGTTAGGGCGATGGTGGTTTATGTCTGGAAGGAGGATATCCAGGGAACCCCTATGTTCTGCTTATGGGAGCGCCTTAAGAAACTTTGTCATCTCTTATATGACTGGAGTAGGGAAGGTACTACTAATTCCCTGCGGAATATTCGAACCATTCAATGTGAAATTGATCGAATTAAACTAGTTCAGCCGATTGATTGGGATATGGTGCGGGGATTGGAGGTCGAGTTGACTAGGCAATGGGAAGCGAAGGAAATTTATTGGCA